GCGGCTTGACCTGGCGTTTGCTGATAGTAAAATTATGAAGGATTTGGAGGCCATGTTGGAAATGGAACTACCGGACTACACCGAAACGCTGGACGCCAGTTACACCATGCTGGAATTCGACAGTATCCGGGTGCTGCCCTCCAATACCGGTGAGTGACGCTTCCGTCGCCGCTCCTGTTCTTCAAATTGTGACTCGGCGGGTCATGTGTCTCTCTTTGTGGCGAAGGGGTCTTATGGGGGGTCCATGAAAGAAGGATTCGTCACATTAGGTACACACCGACCAAACACGTATCCAAAAACCAGGCGCAGGAAACCCAAACTACATATTCTACCAAAAAAGGGGGGACGCATCCCAAAATGGCTCAAAGAATTCTTTATTGGTAGCGGGGGCGGTCAGGTGCGGGTGTTAGATTCAGTATCTGTATATACAGTATACAGGTGAAACTCGAATAATTAGAATATGGTGCAAAGTTCATTTATTTCACTAATGCAACTTAAAAGGTGAAACTAATATATGAGAGAGACTCATTACATGCAAAGCAAGATAGTTCAAGCCGTGATTTGTCATCATTGTGATGATTATGGCTTACAGCTCATGAAAACCCCAAGAACCCCAAATCCACAACCTCAAAAAAGTAGATTATTACACGCAATCAATAAAACAAGGATTGTACATAGAACAATATCGGACCTCTGAAAAGTACAAGCATGCATATGTACTCAGTACTTGGTTTGGGCCCCTTTTGCAGCACTTACTGCAATTACTTTTGCACGATATTCTAATTATTCAGGTTTCACCTGTATGTAGATATATATATATACAGACACCGAATATAACACCCGCACCTGAAATATACATTTACACTTCCTCATGTGTTTATATGTATTATATGTATATAAAAGTATATTATATATATACAGGTTGCCGCAGAAAACAAGCCCCTCCATCCCTCCCCCCTATATATAGATACACAGAATATAACACCCGCACCTGAAATATTTGTTTTGATCAAACAGTAACAAATGTAATATATATTATACATCATATATATTACATTATAGATATCTATTTTATTATATATATCACATTTGTTACTGTTTGGTTAAAACAAATATTTAAAAAAAGGTCATAAAAGAAAAAAGAAAACAGAAAAACAAGTTTGTAGATATTAAATATAACTATAAATTGAAGTAAAATAAAGATATCAATAAAGTGATAAGATCGCATTGTTGGATCCAATAGCAAAAAAAAAGGAATGTGGGAAGTGTGATTCCTGGGTGAAAGTTGGGTGAATCTTTGTATAAAAACATTTATAGAGAGACCCATCGGAGAATGCGTATATATGAAATATTAGATATATCATATTTATGTATTTATTAAATCAGTTGCTGTTATGTGCAAGAAATATGTATATATATATATCTCTCTCTCTATGTATATATATATCTCTCTCTATGTATATATATATGTATCTCTCTCTCTCTCTATGTATATATATGTATCTCTCTCTCTATGTATATATATATGTCTCTCTCTCTCTCTATGTATATATATATATCTCTCTCTATGTATATATATATGTCTCTCTCTCTATGTATATATATGTATCTCTCTCTCTCTCTATGTATATATATGTATCTCTCTCTCTCTATGTATATATATATATCTCTCTCTCTATGTATATATATGTATATCTCTCTCTCTATGTATATATATACAGGTGAAACTCAAATAATTAGAATATCGTGCAAAAGTAATTGCAGTAAGTGCTGCAAAAGGGGCCCAAACCAAGTACTGAGTACATATGCATGCTTGTACTTTTCAGAGGTCCGATATTGTTCTATGTACAATCCGTGTTTTATTGATTGCATGTCATAATCTACTTTTTTGAGGTTGTGGATTTGGGGTTCTTTGGGTTTTCATGAGCTGTGCGCCATAATCATCACAATGATGACAAATCACGGCTTGAATTATCTCGCTTTGCATGTAATGAGTCTCTCTCATATATTAGTTTCACCGCATAAGTTGCATTAGTGAAATAAATGAACTTTGCCCGATATTCTAATTATTCGAGTTTCACCTGTATATGTATCTCTCTCTCTCTATGTATATATATATGTATCTCTCTCTCTCTATGTATATATATGTATCTCTCTCTCTCTCTCTATGTATATATATGTATCTCTCTCTATGTATATATATGTATCTCTCAGTATATACTGTGCGTATATATATATATAGGGGGGAGGGATGGAGGGGCTTGTCTTCTGTGGCCACCCTATATATATATTATATACTTTTATATACATATAGACACACATGAGGAAGTGTACATGTATATTTCTCTATGCGCTGGGTGTGAAGTGAAGGATTTAGGACAGAAGTTAATATTTCACACGTAGATATTTTTGTATCTCTTTTTGGAATTGTGTAATCACCCTAAAGCCAGGATTTCGGTTTTCCTTCTGACCTAAAAAGTTTCCCACGTTGCCGCAGAAGACGAGCCCCTCCATCCCTCTCCGCCCCCCCCC